CCAGCCAGGAGCAGAGTCAGCTGGCCCACCGCCCACAGCCCCTCCCCATGACCGGCGCCACCCCCAATCATCCTCCACCTTGGCCCATGGCCCCTTCCCCCAGCCAGCTCCACCCCCAATTGAGGGTGGAGCCATCCGCAATCACCCGTGGCCTCTCTCCCCAGCCGACTCAGCCTTGATCAGGCTCTGATCAGGGCGGGCCTGCCAGTCAAGCTCCTGCTGTCTTCTCCTCCTGACAGGCCTGACCCCGATCTGCTGATTGGGATTAGGCTGGCCAGACCCCAACCGTGCAGGAATTCTTGCACTGGGCCTCTAGTATCTATACTAATAAAAGGGTAATATGCTAATTAGACTGGATGTCTTCTTGACTTCCTTCCGGACAAAGCCACAGTGGCGGTGGCCAAGGCAGAGGCGGTTAGGGGAGATCTGACCGACAAGGTAGAGCTGTTAGGGGTGATCAGGCTGGCAGGGGAGAGCAGTTAGGGGTGATCCAGGTAGGTATGGCAGTTAGGAGGATCAAGCTGGCAGGCAGGCGTGCGGTTAGGAGCCAGTGGTCCTGGATTGCAAAAGGGATGTCCCACTGCCGGTTTAGGCCCAATCCCACTGAGGGGTCCTGGATTGGAGAAGGTGCAGGCTGGGCTGAGGGACTCTCCCCCCCACCCCCCACCATGCAGGAATTTCGTGCACCGGGCCTCTTGTTGTCAATAAGAAGTCAGCTGTTAATAATATTGTTAGGGTTCTGTTGTATGATGAGGTGCTTTTTTCTTGTGGCTTTCATGATTTTCTCTTTGCCTTTTCTTTCAACACTTCTACTAAAACGTGTCTAAGTGTGGATTGCTATGTGTTTTTCCTACCTGGATATTGTTGAGCTGTTTGGATGTATACATTAACAGTTTTCATCAAAGTTGGAAGCTTTTCCATCATTATTTCTTTGATTATTTTTTCCTGCTCTTTTTCTCTTTCTTTACCTTCTGATAGTCTTATTATGCATATGTTGGCTCACTTAATGGAGTCTCATAATTCTCTGAAGCTCTTTTGATTTTCTTTCATTCTTTTTTCTCTTGGTACTTCAGACTGCATAATCTTTAACAATCTGTTGTAGTTCACTGATTATTTTTCTTCAAATATTTTTCATTCAAAGTTACCGTGAGCCACTCTACTAAATTTTTCATTTTTGTTTTATACTTTTCAACTCCAGAATTTCCATTAGCTTCTTTTTAAAATTTCTAACTTTTAATTGATATTCTCTATTTTATAAAACACTGCAATCACACTTTGTTCTGTTCTTGAAACATGGTCTCCTTTAGTTCTTTGAACATAATTATAATATGTATTTTGAAGTTTTTGTCTCCAAGTCCAACATCTGGGCCTTTTGTGTTGTCTGCTCCCCCACCCCTTTCAGGGATCACACATACCTATTTCTTTGCATATCTAGTATTTTGTTTTTACGGCTGTTGAAAATGGAGTATACTACATTAAGGTAGTATATTGCAGCAACTTAGATAATAATTCCCTTCCCTGCCTGGGGCTTGTTGTCATCATTTGTTTGTTTATTTGCTCAGTCATGGCTGAATTAGTTCAATACAATCTCTTTCCCTCCTAGTGTGCCGCCTCAGAAGTTGCTCGTCAGAGGCACAGACTTGAGCATGCAAACAGTCTTCTCATTTACCAGGGATGACTGCTTTTAGTCAGTTTCTCTTTGGCTTTCGCTTCTCCTGATCTCTCCACTAAGTTACTGACTAGTCCAGTGATGGCGAACCTATGACACGCGTGTCAGAGGTGACACCCAAACTCATTTTTTTGGTTGATTTTTCTTTGTTAAATGGCATTTAAATATATACAATAAATATCAAAAATATAAATCTTTGTTTTACTATGGTTGCAAATATCAAAAAATTTCTATATGTGACACGGCACCAGAGTTAAGTCAGGGTTTTTCAAAAGGCTGACACGCCGAGCTCAAAAGGTTCGCCATCACTGGACTAGACTGACTCTATTTGTTGATACCACATACCGCTGTTACTTCCACTAATTCCTGGCTGACTGCTCTATTGCTTTTGTTCATACTCTTGAGCATGGATTGCTCCACAGAATGATCTACATAATGCTGGGCCTCTTTGCAGAGTTAAGGTATCGTCAGCTTTTAAGTTTTGCTCTGACCCCAGGAGGACACTTCTTATCTGTCTCTTTCCTATGTTTCCTCTGTTAACTTTTAGCTTATGCACTGTTTATGCTTGTTGCAACTAGTATCAAGAAATTACCAGCTTCCTCTTAATTGCTCACCACAAGAATCTCCACTGTTTTTTACCCTCTCTTTTCCAAACAGTCAGTCCCCTTAGGGAGGGCTGCAGAGCTATCCAGTTATTGTCCTGCCTTTCCCTCTGGGCAGAATCTTTAACCACTATACTGGAGCTGGGGGTGGAAACAGCCATCAGTGTCTCCTGGAAAAACTATCTTGGATTCAAGAATCAGGAGTTGGTCAAAGATGGGAATTCTGTCTTTTAGGCTTATCCCCTCAGACATGGATCTTCACTCCCTATGAGAAAGCTAAGGTGGGGGCGATCAGGGCCCAGTATTCTCAGCCTGCTCTGTCTGGGGTGGAACTTCCCTATGAATAGAGGATGAGAGGCAGCTCCAGTCCATGTTATGTCTGCCTAGAATAGAGCTTCTGCAACGTGGAGCCAGAGGAGATGAGGGATGCTGACCTCCTGCCCCTCCTGGGGTGAAACTGTTACCCTAGACTGGGAGCTGGAAAAGCAGGTGTCCCGTGTTCTTGGCCACACTTGCCCAGAGTAAAGCTTCTATCATACCGAGATGGGGTGGCAGGGTAGGCTGGGAGGAGAGGAATGTTGGGAGTAGATCATGGCTCAAAAGCAACAGACGCACTGGTCTTAATGAGATTTAGTAGATTTTCTTGAACATGTGTTTCTTCATTTGCTGTATGCTCTTAGGACAATTTCTAAAAAAAAACAACTTAAACTATAATTAAAAATTTTTTCACTAGGTAAATGTCTTTCACTGGGGAAGAGAACCACACTCTTCACATGGCCATTATACAAATCCCACCTCAGTAGATGTATTTTACTTGAGTAAATAGTTTATTATATACATTATATCAACTTTTAAAAAATTTTATATAAGACACACAAAATTAGAAAATTTAAATGAGTATAAAGAGGAGATATTTGAAATTAATAAGAGAGGACAGAGAACTGATATGATGATGCTAGTGCAACTGATACTAGTCTTACCATTCTGAGCATCGTGGTGTTCAAAGCACCATATTGACAGCTATCATTTATTCAAAGCATGGTATTGACAGCTATCATTTATTCAGTGGCAGAAATGTATCAGGAGCTTTTCATACATTTGGTTGAAATTTCATAAGAATTACACATGGTAATTGGTATAATTTCTGACTTATAAATAAGAAAACTGACCCTTAGTGTCTTACAGAGAGAAAGCAGAGAAGGGATTAATTGAAATTCAAATCTACTTTACTTCAAGTCTGTACTCTTTATGCTCTTCATAAAAGGGAGCATTTAATTTAATCTGGAGAACTATTTTCGAGGAATTAAATTCTATGAGAATTTCAGGAATATTAAATAGACAACACTGACTAAACATTTGATGAGAATATTTTTTTTGCACGGCTATTACAATTGCTGATTTGTTGAGGTAAATGAAAGTAGTTTCTTTCAAGGTCTGTTAACTCTTCAGTTGGTTTTGAGTAGTTTTCTGGAATTCTTAATCCAGTAGAGTTTGTTTAGATACTTTATCAATATATACACCGAGTGGCCAGATTATTATGACCACCTGACGTTTGCAGGCAAATAGCCGTACACTGCATCGTATGGGATATGGAAGTCGAAGACCTGTTCGAACACCTTTGCTGTCTGCAGTTACCAAGATAAAACGTCTCCAATTCGCACAGTAACACAAGGATTGGACATTTGAGCATTTGAAAAAGTCATGTGGTCCGATGAATCACATTTCCAGTTGCATCATGCAGATGGCAGAGTGAGAATTTGGCGGAAACAGCATGAAAGCATGCACCCCACATGCATGAGTACAACCCTTCAAGCTGGTGGGGGCAGTGTTATGGTTTGGGGCATGTTTTCCTGGCATGATTTGGGCCCTTTAATTCGTGTGGAACAACGTCTGAATAGCACAACATACCTAAGTATCGTTGCTGATCAAGTTCATCCTATCATGTTGATGG